AGTATCCTTAATGTTACGTCCATAATGAACAATCTTGAGATCATCACCAACAAGTTGGTGGAATACAGTTTGAGTTCAAGAGTTCAGCATTATAGCCTACGCCATTTTGTTTTTATCTTAACCAGAAATGACAGAGAGCGGGCAAATCGAACATCGCAACTCTGTGGAAACTATGGTGGCAATTTGTGGATTAAGCCCTTGGGAGAAATCAAGTATTTTAAACCCGTTTGTGATTAAGTATTTATTACGAGGCAGCACTGAAACTCCCCCTGATTCCTGGTTATTTGACTCTAAATGTACCATTTTACTAGATAAAATTGGGCTTTACTCTGACTGAATGAATGAATGATGAATAATAATTGGTTTTAGTTGCTCATCCATGAACATACCCTAACCGAGTTGGTTTGGTATAACTGTGGCCTTTAAATAACCGTAAAGGGTCTGCAGACCATGTTTTAACAGCAACGGACAAAGTGTCTGGCTGTGAGCGGGAACCATAAAATGACTCTTCTCTTTTCTTTCTAGTATTGAATTCAGGCGTCGACTTGTGAAGCCTTAACACTGTTTTGTTTGATATCTTAAAGCTGGCCAATAACAACACCCGGACCCGGCATAATGTTAACTGCTGGAGGCAAAGTTACAAACCTCTACATTTAAAGTGTATATTTGAATGAAGTTAACAAACAAAGCTAATCTGCGACTGTTCTTATGTAAGCCACTGTTGTTTACTTGATGTGAACACCCTCGGAAATATCTGGCAGGATCGTGCAAACGTGCCTTTTCTCCCCAGATCAGCGTAATCCCTCTATTCTGTGATCTGGCACGTCGAAATCACTGACAGCTGTCAAAGTGTGAAGGCCAAGGGTGATGGACAACACTCAACCACAGTGTGTGTGTGTGTGTGTGTGTGTGTGTGTGTGCGCGCATCTGTTGTGGAGTCACAGTAGCAGGGCCTTATAACATAAGACTCTCTTAGCCTCCATTCGGCTTCGACAATCCCCTCAGTGATTAGTGGAACAAATGTGTGCCTGTCGCATTACAGCTGTTGTTGTGGCGGCCATTTGTAAAGCCCCCATGTCCTGCGCGCTTTTCATTGGGAGATTATTTCAAGCTGTGAGTACAGTGTGTATATGTGTGCGTGTGTGTGTGTGTGTGTGTGTGTGTGTGTGTGTGTGTGTGTGTGTGTCTTTAAATCACTGTGATCTCCACAGCAACTGTCAGTCCATGTTATTGATTGTCACCCATGTGGACCAGATTGCAAACAAAAAAGACAATTTCCTTAACTTTTTTTAACTTTGCCATTTACATGGACATTTTTTATCATATTGCTCCATTAAGTATGTAAATGGAAATTATAGTGCACAAGTGGGTACTTTGATTTAGTCTCTATCGCTCCATCTCCGTCTGTGTGGCTGTAAATGTTGTCAAAGTTTATCTTTGCTTGTCACTTGTCACCAGCCCAAACCAGTTTTTTTCCCTTGCGATGTGTTGCCCTCTGTCTTCTGTGTCACTTTGTACCTTAAGTCAAGTTTCTGCTTTTATTCAGGAGAAATAGATTTTGCTTTTCTACTTGAAGTACCTAGTAAATAAAGGCACATCAGGAAACAAATCTATCAGATAACAGTTTACTATCAGTCAGAGGTTATTTATTAGCTTATAACTAATAATAATATTTTGACATGTTTGAACAACTGTACAGTGCATACCTTTTAAAATATGTCTAAGAGGCACCACACAGGGAGGATATCGACAGCATGACGGACTGCATCACTGAATATATGAAATTCTGTGAACAAATCACAATTCCATGCAGGACTCTACGCTGCTTCCCAAATAACCAGCCATGGATCAGCAGTGACTCGAAAGCTCTTCTTAATGAGAAGAAGGCAGTGAGACCTGAGGGTGAAGATCAGGGAGCGCAAGGACCAAACTCCAGCCGAGCACCGCGAGGGAGGTGTGGACGGGATGAAGCAAATAACTGGCTTCAAAGTGGGAGTGAGGGAACAGGGGGGATCCCTTGTGAACCCTTTTCACCTGCATGAGAGAAACTTTGCTGGCAGATTGTGATCGGAATGTTATTCCGTCACAGTCATTTATAATAAGTCAACTTCATACGTTCATCATGATTATTTGAGGATTCACTAAAGGTTTATTAATGACCAACCACATTTGTGGTGTGGTAACGTAGAATATAACAGTTTACATACTGAACATTGATAAGCACATTTTTGATGATTTGTTCATAATCAAAAGCTTATAAATGACTATTTACTCATTGAAATATTCCATAATTTCAATGCTCTTTGATATATAGAGGTGTTTTCTTTGACAAGTTGAGAAACATTCTTAATTACACACAATCACTGGATACAAACCTCGGCCTTCTGAGGTTGACCACAGAGCAGCGCAAATGGAATCGTGACTTATCCGGGTGCACGTGTATGGACAGTGTGAAGCGTGGGTTTGGGGCGGATTTCCCTGCAGATCCGGGGATTTCAATTGGTAATTTTGTTGAGCTAAGCCCACGATTCTAACTCTAAGGCGTTTTTTAATAGGGTGCTTTTGTGTTTCATGGCTGGAAAACACAACTTGTTTGCAAAGTTTATCGACCAATTTATGTGCAAATAAACTGGATGGGACTTGTGTGTGCATACAAATAGCCAGTGGGTTGTATTTCCACATTATTCCTGGGAGCCAAAGAGGGAGAATTAACAGCAGGATGGAGAAGGATGGTGAAAGGAGCCCTCTGCTCTCACAGACATTGTAGAAAGAGTGTGATGTTAATTATCCTGATGTGGGTCGAAATAGGCTCATGCTGGCCCAGAGGGGGGAGGAGGAGATCATTAAAATCCTAGCTCGCACACACGCACTGCTTTGCTCCCAGCATCACAAAGACACGCAATTAGACACAAACTAATGTACCTGCTCAGGCACGGGAAGCTCCACACACACACACACACACACACAGACAGACACACACGTACACACAGGTGTTAATCAAGAGATGTTGAATGTGGGTCAGCGCGGTTTTATCCACTGTTAGTGTGATTGTTGTGTGATCAAGTCATCATCAGAGGCGTCTTTGATTCCTGACAAGGATGAGGGCTACAAGTTAATGGCTCACTGCTGCACTGCTCGCCCGTCTGATACTGCTCAACGTATTTGAAAAATAAATCAATAGAAAAAAACTGTCAGGTGCTTAGTCATCTCCATCACCTGAACTAAATGAGTGTAAATGTCACACTTAGCTAAAACTAATGCAATCATAGCTAGGGAGCAACAAACTAATAGTTCCAACACTACAATAATTGACCCTTCAAATAATGAATGTATCTAAAAGTAGACTAAATAAATATTTAGCTAAAGTAGTGGATGAATGATTTCAGATAGTTAAATTACTTTAACTCTAAGCTGGTGTTTATATTGTCCCAATCCAACGTGATCTCCAAAACCTGTTAAAATGTATAAATAAATAAATCTTGAACATACAAATTCGGAACAATACATACGAACTGGCAGTGGTTAACCACGCCCCTTGAGAGAATAACATGGAGGACCATGTCGGATTTTTGAGTGAACGTCTCTCCGCCATGTTGGATTTTTTGAGGGGGTTAGGGTTAGTATTCTATTCTTACAAGTTAACATTGATTTCTTGTTAAAAATGCAATCATAACACGTTTATTTTACATTGTTAGACTTCACAAAGTGTGTTTACGGGGTGCAGGTCCCCATTCACTTTGAATAGGGTGACGTCATCAGTTGCAGTCCGTATTTATTTAGTATGTATCACTACGAATTTGTATGTTCAAGATTTTCGTATACATTTTTACGAACAGGTTTTGCAGATCAGGCTGCCCAATCTTGTCAGTGTTAAATCAACACTCAACGAAGTGTTAACAAGTTAACTCGGAAGAAGTGTCAAAAATAAATCTGCCCAGCGTTAAATACATTACATGTAATTTATCTGACACGTTTATCCAAAGCGACTTACATTGCATTTTTAAGCCATGGTTTTTATATTTGAGCCTAGGGAGCAATTAGGGGTTAGGTGCCTTGCTCAGGGACACTTTGACGTGGGATATGTAGCAGCCGGGGTTTGAACCACCAACTTTATGGTTCCAGGCTCACCCTCTCTACTCCATGCGCCACAGTACGTAGAGTTAAACCGAACACCAAGACGTGTGACAGTTTACAGTTACATTTCAAACCGATCAAAGAGTTAATTTAACTCTACTAAGTGTCGCAAATGAATCTGATCGTCACACTGAATAATGACTCCAGCCATTTCGTACAATTGATTCTGTAAGAGTTAAATCAACTGTTTGCTGTGTGATTTCAACTTTGCACTTCAACACTTTTGCCTGACGCCGGAAAATTAACTCTATAGAGTTAATTTAACTCTATGGAGTTAATTTTCCATCAGGCAAAAACGAACATATATATACAGCTACTACAGCTCTAGAAAACATTGGATGAGGCTCCAACCTAAAAGTTATAAGAGCATTTTGATTTCCCAAATGCTGCAGCTGAAAAATCAAGACGGTCCCTAAAATCGCTGGGAAAAAAGATAACTTGTGCTCATATATTCGTCTCCCGGTGTCGCCGCCTGCCATCACGGAGCAATGTGGCGTTGCAGGACGTGGAGGGGCCGCGCGGTTGGGCTTCAAACCACGTGCCCTTGACGAGACAGAAATGGCACTTTTTCAACTCGGGCCCTGGAGCTTTCGCGCGCTTGCGTGTTCCACGTGACACTGCGGGGAAGACACGCGTCCCTCCATCAGCGGCAGCCCGTGACCTTTCACAATAAAAGACGGGGCCGCTGTCCGAGGTGCTGAAAGCCGCGTCCTCTGTTCGCTCGATCACGGAAATTACACTTAAAGTTCACCGAAACAATCGGTGCCAGGCCGCCTAATTTATGTTTAGTGAAGTGAACACGAGAATACCACGCCCCCCCCCCCTCCCCCCTCCTAACCCAACCCCCACCCCGCTCTCTTTCTATCACGCACCGAGAGAGGAGAGAAGCAGAGGGGGAGGGAGTCAAGTCAAGCAGGGATGATTAGAGGAGTGGGTCACTGTTAGAAACACACGCGCTGGGGAAGAGGGCAGGAACGCAAAGAAAGCAAGGAAAGGAATCAAAGCCGCATAACACCATCAAGAGGAGGGAGATAAACGTCGCTGACGTCCGGCTCTCCGGCTCTCCGGCTCCACAAAGCAGCGGGTGGATGCTGAGGCTGCGTGGGCTCCGCAGCGCTGCCCAGTGAGGAGCGAGCAACGCGCTTTGTCTGCAGGCATTTTTAAGTGGGATTCATCTTTTTTGTTTGTTGTGTTATTTTCCTTTCTTTTTTTTTGTTGTCTCTCAAGTCCCACGAGCAAAGTGGGGACACTGCTCCCAAGATCAAGTCCACGCACGCGGGGAAACGGTAGGTCGCAGTTGGCTGTTTGGGATGTTTCACACTGTGCGCGCCTGGGATGAAGGCTTTTCAAATGTTGTTTTTCAGTTACGTAGACATGATTTAGGATCACCGGGTTGCGTCTGATACACTTCACCTCACATTAAGGGACATTGGGTTTTTTTTATATGAGATTTTATAACATCATAATATCATGTTGATAATAAGACGTCATTTTTGAACCCTGGCACCCAAAACCCCAAAATTGAGACATCAATGGTATTATAGCATATTCCTCTTTTTATTTGTAATGTTAATACGTGTTCAAATGAAAGTAGTGTGTCGTTCAAAGATTTCATGAATATTCAATAAAGGTCAGTTGTGGCGAAGATATAATTCAGATCCTCGTGGAAAAAAATACTAGAAACACCTCTGAGTATAATGCATAACAATAGAGCAGCTAAAACTACGTAGCCTACATTTAGGATCACTGTTGCAGCCAGTAGCAAACTCCCTTAATGTTATTATCCCTTTCTTTTGGCCAATAGTCTATTACAATCTCATGCAGTCCAATAGAGCACTGCCTATAAACTATTATTGAGTTTTATATATATTTATATATATATATATATATATATATATAAAGATATATGTATACTGAGACTAACACTGAAGAGGTGTACCTACTAAAGTGGAAACTTGAGTGTGTTGTAGTTGGTAATACTGTGGAATTCAACAAACAAGCATCATCATCAAACTGAATCCAAGCCTTACTAAAACAACAACAAAAAACGGAACGTTACATTCGTCTCTGCCATCTTATCAGTCGCACGGCTGTTGTTTTAGTCTGCATCCTTGTTGGGGTCTTTTGGCCAATGAACTTGTGTTTTCGTTAAGGGGTCTTGCTGTATCTCTTCTAAATACATTTCCAAAAGTAAAAAATATATTTCATAATAAATGTTTCACTGCACCAGAGTGATCTGCTAGTTAATATTTCCCATAGTTTTTCACCGTGCTGCAGTACTAGAACAGTAAAGCAGCTGTTTTGACCTTACAATACAATTTACGATAAGCGATTTTGCTGTAGATCCATGGTGTTCACATCAATATTAAAGTGCTACTGTTGTCATGACGAAATGAAACATAATAAGATCAGTGCTGAGCACAGCAAACACCCTCTAGGAATCTGGCAGGAATATTACAGCAGCACTATGGAAGATGCCAGGAATAATACAGCGTTATGGTGCCACTGCGTTCACGGTACAGACTCTCTGTAGAAAGGCCGTCATGTTTCACTTGTGTCACGCTTTTCCCCCCTAATATCAGAGTGGTGATGCAGGCCCCTCTGGTTAATTACTATTCCGCACACAAGGCAGTGTGGAGCCGAACCGCGGGCCAGATAGGACCTTGTTTGTGTAACTCCGAGGTTGGTGAGTCTGTCTCATGTGGACAGATCTGTACGCACAAGTTGACTCCTTATGCCTGCAGAGAGCTTTAATTTTTCATTGACTACTGTCTGGCCGACAATGATAACTGAAATCTTTCTTGGCTGTAATTGTACTGCACCCCGATTCTGGCCTGAGTTAAGAGCGATGTGGGCAGATGGCAAAGATCAGCTGAAATATACGAAATCCATGGGCAAAAAAACCTGATTACTTTTACAGTTTCATTATTTTCCTCTATATGCCAGACACGATATGGGCTGCGTGCCAGAGGGTCATTGGACAAACGTCTGACGTCCATCACTCACACTCCGCAGATGCTGTCACTTTCATGGCAGCAAAGAAACACAATTTATAAGGATTCAATGAGTCACTCTGCAAACACTGCTGCACCAGCAATATTAATGAAATTCAATAAAGGGGGATGTTATCGAAGCGTTGCAGAGCACTCATTTCATTTTTGGACGAACCGGTGCGACTAGTTTCATTGCTGCTTGAGTAATACCTGCGACTCAACTGCCATAAAAATAACATTTTTAATCAAATTCACCCATCTGAAACATCAAGAGAGGAAAACAATAATGCAAAGGCTTAAAAGAAAACAAAAAAAAACATCCAGTACACCTCAATTAAAATCCTGTGTACTGTGACAATGGAAGAGGTTATTTTGCTTATCAGTGGAGGACAATGTGAGTCCCCTTCACCCCTCTCCCAACCTGCCTGATCTCATCCATCCATCACCATGTGAAGCCCCTGAACAGTAGTCCAATGTGATTGGTGCGTGTCCGTGTTCACTTTCCCTTCGTCTCATTACTGCACAGAGAAGATTGGGTGAACAGAAAAGGGCCACAAACCGGTTGATGAGAATGAAGCTTAACAAATGTAAAAATCAAAGCATTTACTCTGCTCCCGGATAATTGGCTCACTCGTGAACGAAAGTATGACAGATGAAGCGACTGAGGGTGAAATTGCTCTGATCGATTGCATCAACCGACCTGGTCAATTAGAATGGACATTGTGCGCGTGCGAGAGAGACAGAGAGACTGCAGGAAATTGTCATTTGAAAGAGGGAGACGCATGAAATCGGGAGAAAACGCAGGAGCTACTGTCAGACAGGTGATGTTGACGCCGAGATTCATTGAAAATGTGGAAACACAGACTGACTGCTGCATAGTATATTTCAAAAGGTGCCCGGAAATTTCTTACTAAATGCCAGACTGCAACAAGTGATGTCGGGATCATACAAAAAGAATCACGCCAATAGGGAGAGTTTGACATTTTGATTAAAATCCTGCTTTTGTATCTGTACATTCAATTTGAAGCAGGTGAGCTGAGCATAAAAACTGGAAACGGGGCCAAACCCGTTGCCTTGCTCTGTCCAAAGGTTTTTACTCGCTCTGTCCAGCGAGTCAAAAGTTGGAGTCTACACTGGTTGCCTGGCAACCCCACGGAGACAACAAGGCTCCAAGAAGTCACTGTGATACCAAAATATAACCCCACAGCTTGATATTTTTACACTTTCTTATGGATAAAGGTGTTAATTGGAAAACAAGACAGATTTCCTTATTTCTGGCCTGAAATACACATTTACCAGGCTGACATAATGGTCCCTCTATTCTTTGATAGTTGGGGTTAGCATAGTATCATAGAAGCACAAAGAGGAAAACATTCTGCCACTGTTTTTCCAATGTTAATACATGTTTTACGAATCCCTTTTGAATGAGAAGAATTCCATTGATGCAAAATCTATTTATTACGGTTTATTACGACCTATTGTGGCCTCCAGTGGCCGTAGTAATTAGATTAAAGGACGACATAAGGTAACGTAGAATAAAGAACGACAAAGTCCCCATCGTCGCATGAAGATAGGCCTTCGAGTGAAATATTTAGGGTTAGAATAAACCTCTGAACAAATCACGTTAAAGTTTCCTCCTACATGCGCCTGGCCAGTGAGACAACCTCGGAGTGAAGCAATAAAGCCGACATGAAATAGCTCAAAAACTCCAGTTCGTCAAATGTCCACTTGAGGCGGGCGGCGAAAGTTTTTATGAAATTCAGGTGGACAAAAGGGCGTGACTGCTCTGACTAACCAATGTTTGTCGTGTCAGCATTTAGCTGTCTGCTTAGCGCCACCTCGCTAATTCAAGTGACTGTACTTGACCTCCTCTGGTAGAACATCCATAATACCAAAATGCAAAAAGTATTTTTGCGATCAACACATATTGAACGCTATTTTGTTGAGTTGCATCTTAGTAATATGCTCTGAGTGAATTTAAAATCCCCCTGGTACGCAGTGATGTGCTGTGACCGTTGCAAATTAAAACTGCCACTGCATCATTTCACAATTTCTAATACAGCGTATAATTATAGAGATGTTTATATTCACACAGACAAAACTATTAGCCTCTAATACAATACTTTCTCATACCTGACAACATAATAGATGGTTTTCCACTCTCAAAATCCTCATTTGTCTGTTTGATCTTGCAGAGAGAGAAAGCCCAGAATAACAAAAAAGGAAACAAAATGATGAGGTTAAAAGAGGGTTACAATCTCTCCTAAAGCTCTGAGCAATGGCGACGTGGTGACGTTACCACTACTCCTGCAAAGTGAGTGCATAAAAGTTAATCTTGTGCGGAAAATGGGTATTTATTAAGCAGCCATAAAGTCACCGTTGTGCTTTTGTTTCACGCTTATTAGTCACAAATCAAATTGAGTTTACACTGCAGAGGCTCCGACGCAAAAAATAGTAAAACCTTTATACACAATGTCATTTATTTATTGACTTGGCTTGTGGTCGCAGTAACAGCACTGCGTTCACTGCTTATGGAGTGTGACTGTGAAGCATCGCGTTGACCCCGACGACCCCGTTTCATCGATAGCCTTTGACCTTTGTCATCAGCAGCAGCAGTCTCTACCTCGCGGGTTCATCATGTGAACTCCTAAAATGCAAAAGATTAATCAAGGTTCTGGATAAACAGAGACATAAAGTGAGAGTTTTTAGGCTCCGCGGGAGAAGTGGCTGCTTCAGCTCAGAGATTCAGCTTGAGGTGCGCACACACACACACACACACACACACACATGCAGGCAATACTCATTCACTCTGTGTTTTTTCTTCAAAAAAGACATTCGCAAATGCAATCCCGAATCCCCCCCCTGTTTTTGTGGTAAAAATCAATGGCTTCAGAGCCCAACCGAACAGACAAAATAAAGAAATCAATGCAGGCTTATTAACTGAGCAGAGCTTCCTGTACCGCTGACACAAATAATAAGAGCAAGTGTTTGTGAGAGTGTGTCAATGGGATCTGTGAGTAATGATGGCTCTGCGGATCTGCGAGTGCATAAGCAAGTGTGTGTGTGTGTGTGTCCCTGCATGTTGGAGACTGGTGTACAAGCGCTGCTCCGTAGGCGTGCGCTGCATGTTTGCGTGCGTTACTCTTGGTTTAGTGCCACCGTCTTCTCGCCGCGCCTTCGCCTTGGTCTGTTTGTTGACAAACGGATGCCCTGAGACAAATGATTTAGCACCTGTCACTCAGCGCAGAAGGACGAGAGATGAGAAAAAGGAAGAGGTCACAGGCGGCGTAGTGGGGAAAAGGGTGGGGGCTTTTTGAGACAAGCCATGAGAGAGCAATAAAGGCAAAGAGGAGAAGGGAGAGGGAAGAAGTTCACGCGGAAGAAAAAGATAATTTACCATTGAGCTCGGGGTCATCCCATAGCTCAAGTTCCTGTGAGCAATTCGCCCGGGGAAATGACAGCCTCTATTTCTGTGTTGTTAGCCTCTAAGCAACTCATAGGAAGTGGGCCCCCGGGAGCAGACCTTCCCTCATCACAAGGGTTACCATAACAACGGGATGAGGCCGACCTGCATCGATGGTGAACTTTGCTGGTGCCCTCCAGCACTCTGACTGGCTGCTGCACCTCCGACACGTCGGCCCCCCTGCCACCCCCCCGGGAAAAGGGAAAAAAGAAAATGAAATGAGAAAATCATCGCCACGCAATGCGGTGGATCTCGTTGTGCTGCGGATGTTTGGCTCGGGCGTGATTGTTCCGCGGCGGAATTATTTGTTTGGCGTGTACAAAAAAAATAAAGCGCTCAGCGTCAAGAAGAAAGAGACATTTGTCCTTTCAGAAAATGTCTCAGACGACAAACAAGTTTCTCCAGCGTTCGGTGGAGAATCCTGTTTGCAGAGCCGCAGTGTTGTTGGTGCGTGTTGGTAAAAGCTGATACAGAACGTTGAGCAGGCTTTGTGTGACATGCATTTTATTAGACGTCTATTTTTTTCCTTTTGGCTTTTGTTGTCTGCCAGCCCCTCAGATCTATGCCCACCACCATCTAATCATCCTATTTGCACGTCTTTACGCGGTCAATAGAGATATTTTGCTGACCTCGTTCTTTTTACAAAGCAGCCGCCTCGATGAACACGTCAACGGTGCCCAGAGCGGCTTAGCTAACCAGCATCCGATTGTGCAGATTACGCGTGTTCCGCAGAGGATTACTGAGACCAAAATGAACAAATTGACCTCTTCCCGCTAAATTCCTCCATCGGCATGACAAAAGAAGAGAGTTGGAGCACAATGGGGGTTGAAACGGAATATGAAATAGTCGAGCATTTACTGTAAGACAAGTTGCAGCAGAAATCCTTCGCCCCGGATCGGTTTTATTGCCGCCATCACCTCGTTGCTGTTTGCAAAGCGTGATGACTCCATTGATCCTTGTCTCTCCACGTCTCACCAGCCTCACCAGCCGCTCAGGGTTTTTAAAGACAAAGACTGAAACGAGAGGAGACGTGGACGAGCCGCTTCCTCCAGCCGGCAGGTCGTCGTTTGCATTGATGTCGGGATCATATTCTAACAACAAACATCCTTTTCCGCGTGTATTCTTAGCCAAGAGCAAAGTGTCTTCCTCTCGGCTTCCCTTCTGATAATTTCCAAGCCAGTCAAAGCTTTTTAAATCATCCCACTTTGAGAAGTAACAAAAGCTCAATGACAGATGAAGGCCTTGTTTCAAACTCAATTTTTTGCGCCTTCTCTGTATAATAGAAGTACATCATTTCTCTCCACGCTTGTTTGGTTTGGAGAGCTCCAGAGAGGAAATGGCATGGTTTTGTTACTAAGTGTCTCTGTCTTCTCTGCTGCGAGAAGAAGATTGAGCAGTTTATGTAGGTCACATTGTATTAATCTGGCTGGCTATCCTCGTAAATGCGCTCAAAACTACAACATTAAAATCCAGTCCATTGCTTGATTGCTTAATAATGCAGCATGGCGGCAGCGAGGATGACTTATCCGCCACTGAAGTAGCGATCCTGGTGCTTTTGCATTTAAGTAGTAAATTACTGGTTTGGGATTACGACGCCACAAATGGCACGTTTGATATCAATCTGACCGAGCAGTTCAAACACCGTGTGTGCTGAATATTTAACAGTCGCAGTGTATTTCAGGCACGGGGCCTTTTCATCACTCATCTGTAATGAGATCTGTGTGCATTCTAATAATTAATAAACCAGACATCTCCAAAATCAATCCAAGCGGAATGTAAATGCTATCAATTATCTGTCTGGGGGATTCTGCAATCTTAAACAAACTGGATTTTTTTTCTTACACAGACTTAACAGGATATGGGAACTGCACATGGATGTTTTATAAGAATATGAGTCTTTAGATTGGATCGATGAGAAGCCTGCTTCTCCCCTGGATGAAGCCGCTCAGCAGAGCACAATAAATCTACCTACTGTCACGGAGCGGAGTGACGGGGCTCGGTGTGACATTTCCACATGTATTTTTATCTCCATTCAGCCATGTGGTATCTCGATGCAATCTGCTGCCGATGAACTATTGTGAACACTGCCGGGCTGCATGATATTGTCTTTCCGGCGTGAACTGTGGAGCGCAACAATAAAATCCCTTCCGGGCTGTGTAAAAGGAGAGAAAAAAGAAAAATAAAGTGTGTGTGTGTGTGTGTGTGTGTGTGTGTGTGTGTGGGGGGGGGGGGCGATGGGTTTCATTTCAAAGGGAGATATTGCTGTGATGTGCAGCAAGCAGCAAGGCTGATGTTTTTTGATCAGTTGATTAGAGCATGCGTTGCCTTGTGGGGTTTTCTTTTGAGAAAGTAAATGTGCTTTCTGCGATTAGGGAGGTAGGGTGGGGGGAGGAGAGGGGGAGGGGGGGGGGGGCAAAGTCTCCTTCTCTGCTGTACATCCGCTGCCGGTCTTTGTCAGACAAACATAGTGACGTGAATAGAAAGTGTGAATGTGTTTGCGCGTGCATTAACGAGACAACTTGAGGCAACCTGCGCATCTTTTTATCACATCTTTAATTAATTGAAGCCCATAATAGAAACTGCAGCAATTCCACTGAATGGAACCAGTTCAATGGAAGGCTGGCTGAGATATGGAGATACTCTTCCGTTCCAGTGCTTTTTGAAAAACATTGTTTGAATTAATCCAATGGCAAGGGAGCCATTGAATAGCCACAGAAGGCCGTCAGTCTTTGGTTTGGATGGAAATCACCACGAAAAAAGAAAAGGGTGAGGTTTTGTTGTTGTAACTCTCCTTCTATCAGCCAGAGGTTCTTGATGTAAATCAGGAGCTACGAACAGGACAGCATGGACCTCTATGGTCTCGGCCTCGCCCTGCTGGCCCTCACTGCCGTCCTCCACCGTGATCTACACTCGTCACCAACATTTGTTGTAGCTTGATATCTGTCTCTCCCCTCTCTCGACTTCTCTCTTTCCAGGTATTTTGACACAGAAGGTCCGCTGTTAACGAACCGCCATGGCCCTCTTGCGGCTCTCCAGGCTTGTCCTGGTCGTCGCGGCCCTCCTCCCCCGGCCGTCCGCAGGATGTCCCGCCGGCTGCCGCTGCTACAGCCTCACGGTGGAGTGCGGGTCGCTCGGGGTCAAAGAAATCCCGCAGGACGTCCCCTCCGTCACAGAGGTCAGTCCGCAAAACTGGGGACAAGTCCGGGGGGGGCGCTGGGGGGCGTGGGGGGGCACGCTGCCGACAAACGCCCCCTCCCACATCAGCGGTTTTTGTACCAGTTGACTTCCTCTGTCATCCATTCTTATTACCCTGAAATGATTGTGGTTAATCAATTCACCGTGACCCTCTTTGATGGAAGCCCGAGGGAGGAGCAAAGCTGTTGGCTGTGTAATTATTCACTCTTGCTCAGACAGTGACTCTTGCACACCCTCTGATCATCTGTTCAGGAGATGTTTAACATTACAACGTCTATTCCTCTCGGGTCATCCCCCCCCCCCCCCCCCCCCAACATTAGTGCAGCTCATGCATTTTAATGAAAGGCATGTCCTGCATATATTGTCCCTTTACCTTCAATCAGCAGGTCCGTTCCTTCAATCATATTTCCCCTCATTCCATTGAGGAAAGCGGCGGTGCATTGGGGGGTCGAGGCCCCCCCCCCCCCCCCCACCCTGGCCGTCACTTAAACGGCTTTTGTTTCTTGACAAGGTCCGTGATTTCTGCAGCATTTGGCAAAATAACTGAGCTGCAAAATAAGAAGCAGGGGTGCGGCCCACCCACATCGCCCGAGTCCTTATTATCAGCCCCCTAAGCCAGCTCCTTCCACATTGTTTGTGATGCCCACATTAACATATCTCCAAAGCTCTACACAGCCCGCTGAGTGCAGATAGCTCAGACGGTGGCCCCGTTGTTAGAGCAATCTCTTCTCATGGTTAATACATTTTCCTGCTTGGTGAGCACAGCTCGGGCAACAGGTCACGCTCACTTCCTTGTACAAAACAAAAACGGCAATTCAAACATCACATCCCCTCGTCATGTGTCTCTAATGTAATCAATGTGCGATCACTCTGCTGATTGGAATTGTCCGGTGTCTCCGCTGCAGACCATCTTCCTCCAGGATAACGGCGTAGTGCAGATCCGTCATCAGGACCTGACTCGCCTCGGCAGCCTCCATTACCTCTACCTTCAGAATAACAGCATCTCGGCCGTGGAGCCCGGGGCGTTTCTCAGCCAGGGGCAGCTGCTGGAGCTGGCCCTCAATGGCAACCTCATCCACCTGGTCACTGCGGACATGTTTCGGGGTCTGGAGCACCTCAGGATCCTTTACCTCGCAGGGAACCAGATCACTCGAGTGCAAGACCACACTTTCAGGGGACTGCAGGTTCGAGAGCTGAGTTAACGTTACTTAGCTTTTTGTCCACCAGCCACGTTTGTTAGTGGTCCACACTTATCAAGCTGGGAATTGATGTATCATGGCTGGCCGGACAGAAATTTTGTTTTAATCCAAACAAATCCATCCAACCCAATCTTTTTTTTAGTAAGGTGCAAGACATACTTGGCGTTTTAAAGCAAAGCTAAAGCTTTTCCAATATGAGATGTATTTCTATGGATTATATATAGAATGACATGTGCAACTGTAAATCCAATTCGCGACGTCATGTCGGACTAAGCCCTTCCGTACAGACTGAGTCAGGAGGAAATCAACTCATTCTGTCTCTGACATTTCTTTTCCTCCTCCTTTAATATTTCCCTTCCTCTGCTTTATGTATTTTTGCCATCTGCAGCGTCTGCAGGAACTCCACCTGCAGGAGAACAGCATAGAGCTGCTGACCGAGCATGCTCTGTCGGGCTTGTCATCTCTGGCCTTATTGGACCTCAGCAGGAATCACCTCCGCACCCTGGGAGCCTCTTCCCTCACACCGCTCGTGAGCTTGCAGGTGCTGCGTGTCACAGGTAGGCAGAGCGAGATCTTACTGTAAGATGACCTCCGTAATTAAATTCCCTGTAATTTAACGTGCCTACAAAAATGCCTCCATACGGCATATCTGAATGCACCGCCACAGCCGCGACCTGCATTCTCATGTCAATTGAAATGAAGTGCCTTTAAATGTGTTTTCCGCATCAAAGTGTTTTATCCTAGTGATATAAAAAATCTCCTTTACAGGCACAATTTTAAAATTGAAAGATCTTTTATCCGAGGCAATTGTTCCCTCAATGGGCACCAAGTTTAAATAATCGTAAGCCAAATACATTTTGTTTACCAAAACAATATCCCCTTAAGGCTGATTTAGCAGCGGTTCTGGAGCTTGTGTTGGCGATGATACATGTTCACATGTATGTTGGCCTTTATCAGGAAATAAAGTTATTATTTGACCTGGGAAAACAAATCAATCTCAAGGTTTATTGTTGTCATTGGAAGTTGACCAAACCATTAAGTGATCGACATTGTCTTCTTCCATCTCTCCCCTCCAGAGAACCCGTGGCGCTGTGATTGTGCCCTGGGTTGGCTAAGGACTTGGATCAAGGAGGACGGACAGCGTCTGTTGAGCTCGGCCGAACAGCGTCGACTGATGTGCTCCGAGCCACCTCGCCTCTCCCACCTCAGCCTGGTGGAGGTGGCTCCCAACAGCCTAGTCTGCATCCCCCCCGTGGTGCAATTGGAGCCCAGCCACCTGACCGTGCGACTAGGGGAGAGCCTCCGCGTCTCCTGCCAAGCGTCGGGATACCCTCAGCCTCAGGTGACTTGGAAGAAAGCCTCCCATGGCAAGGCCCAGTTGTCGCCTCGAGGCCTGGTTCAAGAGCTGGGACCAAATGGCGAGCTCTTCAGGCCTGGTGCCGGAGGGGTGGTGACGGCCCTGCCCAGCAGCAGAGGGATGAAGGTTGGTGGCGTTGGAGGAACACAGGGGCTTGTGCGTGGGGCCGAGGAGGGTGGTGAGAGGGACAGTTTTGATCCGGACACGGGGAGCGGCATGCTGTTCCTCAGCAACGTGACTGTAGCGCACGCTGGTCGCTACGAGTGCGAAGCCTGGAACCCCGGCGGCGTGGCCAGAGTTACCTTTCACCTGGCCGTGAACATGTCTTCTTCTGCATACTCATCTCAGTTCTGGCCCCGTCTGAACATGCACGCCTTTGCGCCGTCTTCGTCCAACTCCTTCTATCAGCCAGAGGTTCTCGATGTAAGTCAGGAGCTGATCTACGAACAGGACAGCATGGACTTCTATGCTCTCGGCCCTGCCACGCAGACCGCCATTGCTGTCGGCATCTCCCTGCTGGCGCTTACTGCCGTCCTCCTCTTGATCATGATCTACACTCGTCACCAGCAATACCGCAAGGAAGAAGGCGGCTCCTACTGCACCAGCAAGGAAGAGAGCATCCTCTACGTGAACGACTACTCCGACGGACCCACCACCTTTGCGCAGCTGGAGGAGTACCGCGACGACCACGGCCACGAGATGTACGTGCTCAACAGGACCAATCCCGTCTTGGCCTCCGCTTCGTCTAGGTGTCCCATGATGAGCGAGTTTGTCCAGCAGAAGGGTATGAAGGAGGCCCTCCTGGACCACGAAATGGTGCAAACACTGACCAGATCAGGGGGCCTGGGACTTCGCAGAAACCCGGCAGATGGAGGCGAGGGACCCCTAACAACCGATCCAGAGGAGCTCTTCCTCAGTCAGAGTCTCCTCTTCGGATCGCAGGTTGCCTACGAGATCCACTGTTAAAAGTTTTTTAGTGAAAAAATTGTGGTCTTGGACTTCATTAGAGACAGTAGAGAAAATCACCTTGGTGCAATGATTTAAAGCATTAGATGATCATGGTGTCTTCAATAGAAAGGAGAGCGTCGGTTAGTGGTTGCTGGGGAAAACCTGCATCTCGACCAACCAAGATCCTTGTCTGATTGATTAAGATGGGTCAGACTGAAACAGGTGATAATTAGGGAGTTAACAGAGGAACCATACCCATATCTGTTTCCACATCTGCCCTTTAAAGATATAACGAGGGGATGCCCTAATCAGAAATGGTTTGTATGACAGTTTAACTAAATCACGACAGATTGTGGATTAAAAGTGTGGTCATATTTTGTATTTTTCTTGTTTTGTGTGTCTGTCTGTTAGTGTTTTGTGTAAATATAATGAAGCTAATTTTCACTGTGAAGTACTGATGTTTTGTGGACCCTGTTGCAGATCCCATTAGAATTAGACCGAAACCAATCCTCTTACTGCAACTACATAGTCAGTATCCATATGTGTGAGTGGGCGTCGGTGGGTGGATTTGTTTAAAGAGGTTCATTTTGAATGCAGGAATAAATCTTTTTTTCTACCTATTTGTTGCTACACTAGAACAAAGGAATTAACATTTCTATTGTTTGAAATGGAATCCATGGTGGAATTAATTTATAGTGAGAGAATACTTTACATTGTGTCTTCAGTTTCTACATATTAAAATGTCTTTTAAAAGAATTGAGGCTCTGTTTCTTAACAGGTCGGCTGGTCGCTCTAACGCAGCTATTCTTCTGTGCCCAAACTATAGTATAAAAGCTTAGTGCTTCGTTCAGTCTTCTTACTCCTCCTCTCAACACATGACATGAAGCAGATGAGAGTGAAATATGTTTCTTTACGAAGACAGTGGCTTCCACCCTCTGCATAAAGGTCCATGGTTCATAAGCTGTTACTGTAATTCTTCTCTCTGCGCCGTCAAAGCTCCTCCTGGACTACAAAGGAGGATGCTTTTGGAAATGTTTTGAAATGTCAGGTTTATGCTTTATGCAAAGACCTGGAGCCATATTGATTTTCATCAACACATGTCAGTATTTTTTTAAAATGACTACTAATAATTGTACTGTAGTAACGTAACTGTAATAGAGGCGATGATTGCCTCGATAAGAACTCAATAAAAGGCAGCACAACTGAAGGGCAAATTCATTCGTAAAATAAAATAGTATTTCATTAATAACAATGCCTGTCACAGGCACTGCACAGCATCACTGTGATGCCAGCATGTTAAGCGGCTTACCTTAATAAAGCATCTCTGTTTCGATTGGGACAAACATTACATTTGAAATTGCGTTCAATTTGACAGACCTATTTCATAAATATTAATACAGAGGTAATATATTGCAATAATCTTCTTTTGAATTCAGCACAGAGGAATCTTATTGAAAGAAATAGTTTTAAGCTGCATATTAAGAAGGCTGACTGGTTTATCCAGCTCTTACTGGGAGGCAGGCTTTAAATGAAGGAAAACGAAACTGGCTACATGTTATACCACTCAGCCATCATTGAGGCCCTTCTTAGCGGGTCACAAGGGGTACAGAAGATGGATGTAGAGTAAATCCTAAAGAACAGGCGAGTACACCATCAACTGGTCGCCAGCCAATGGCAGCGCTGACAGAGACAGACAATCATTCACTGTCACATTCACAAACCTATTAACCCAAACTTGGGTATGGGCTGTGGGAAAAAGCCAGAATAGCCAAAGAGAAGCCACTTAGACACGGGGAAACAACAGGACAACATGCAGACGCACACAGAAAGGGACACTGAGTGGTTTTTCACACGTTATACAAACTGAACAAATTAGCGCATTCCCTTTACATGAGAGAGTTAAATGAGAAAATTGATTAGATCTTTGTAATCAGACTGGAACCTGGGGAAACAAAATACATTCACTAACACCTGACTGAGTTAGCATATGGTATCTCCTTTGTTTCATCTGTGCACGCACAGTTTTGTAAATAGTAGAAATTGTGAGCTCAAGGGGATTTATATTAATTAACTACATAGGTGAACAACGTCCTCGTACATTGACTTTACCGACTCTAAATCATTCTAGAGTTGCCAGGCAACCAGCCTATACCTGGAGGCACTGTGCGGTGCTGTGATGGGTGAACAGATGAATTACATTGCATATTGATGTTTACATGGCTAATTATAAAACTGTTTTGCTAGTTACCCAGTACTGGCACCGTTCACACAAAGTACATTATCGTTCTCCGGGATATGCGATTTGTGACAAATGAGTCCAATATTGACTTTAATGACTGTGCAGCAAAATAATTGGTCATAGCGCGGATTGACGTTCAATTGTCCCATCTGAGATATTAGACTGAGAAGCGGCCTCTAGTCCCTCAAAGGAGCAGGGATGTGATATATTGCCCACGACACAGAAACAGGAAGCCGACGCTCGGTGGGAGGTGCGAACTCTCTCTGGAGCAACAAAGCAGGTGGTTTATGTGACAAAACCGTTTACCCATAAGATATTATACTTATTTACTTACTCATTATTTACTTATAAAAACACATCATGGTTTGACTTAAAATGGGTAAGCTTCTGTCATGAAGCAAGCTACAGATGTAACGTCCAATGAAGAATCACTCAGCATTCGATTTCACATGGGACACCGTCGGAAAGCCTGTGTTTGTTTGAAAGACATCGATCTTCTCGTCATTCGCAGGTCGGGAAATAAGTTTTTCCTAAAATGTTGAGTCACTGCTTTGACAATTGGAGTAGAATTACTGCAGTATTTCCCAGGGAATAAATGACTCGCTCTTGTTCTCTGTAGCCAGACGCTTCCTGTAGCGCATGCCAGAATTCAGCTTTGATGGACAGATTACAGAAAAAGGTGTCTTTCACTGACATTTCTAAAAGAACAAGATAGTATGGCCGATTGCAGTGTGTGAACCGCTACAACAAAAGCCTCTTCACAGCAGGTAGCTGAGCTAATACCAGAGACAGAAGCAGAACACCGAAAAACACACATACAAACCAAACAAACCTGACCTGACCTGACCGGAGCTGCAGCGCAACAAAGCTGAAGATGTGTTTTGCGGCTTGTGTAATGCTCTTATTGCAGTTGTCCTGTAAAGAAAATGGATTTTCTTTTGTGGCTAGTGTGATACAATTCACAGACTATGTCATTACATGTCCAACAAAGCCCATGCTTACAATGGTTGTCATGGACACAAAAAAACTCCAAATGTCCTAAGTGACTGGCGCTTTGAAAGGGAGTCTGAATACCCGCCCAGCGTGCTAAACAGTGGTTTTTGTTGGCTGTATGCGGCACTCTGTTCCTCTAATCACTGCATATTATTTTCAAAGATCCCCACCAGGGTACCTGCAGGCGCGTGCTGTTGATTAGAGGCCTCCATAATTGATTTAACAGCCAGAAAATTATGCAGAAATAATCCTAATGGTGTGGTGTGTAATGCACTGCTGCTGCCTCAAGTGATCCGCTAAGAAGCCTCACCTGTTTCAAATTATGCGATAGAGCGTTTTAATGCCACATAGGTCATGTATGTGGCATATGTAAGTGGATTATCCAACCGTTTGTGATGCAGCAAGAGGCAACGGCTTAAACTTTTTATATTCAAGATTGTGGAGTTGCTTCTAAAATCTGAACTTGTTGTATGAGCGTGTTGGGCTTCTTACTGTTGATCTCTCTTTTACCCTTGATTTTACATCCTTAAGTCAAGGACAGATACAGTCACAAACTCAGTAACACTTATACACAGTCTCACATCGTGGAGAATGGATGCGGGCCAATGATTACTTCTACCATTCTGACACCAATCAAATTTTTCGCTTTCCTTGTTCGTGGCGAAGGTTGCCTGTGATCCCATCAGTCAACCAGCCGAGTGAGGACGCAGCTTCTCATACTGATGCTGTAGTGTTTTTCTTTACCCGTCCACCTCCTTTCATGTATCTCTTCTCATCTCTCCTCCAACGCAGTTTAGCATAAGGGAATGAGTTTTTTTGCGTGAGGGTCAAAAATGAGATATGTGCGGCTGAATCACTGATGCAATTCTCCGCTGCCTCTACGGTGTTTTGTGTAAATGTGTGTCTGATGTAAGATGTCGTCCTCTCCGTGTTGCCTTTGTTTTGTTTTAGATGAATGCAGCTTCGATTCTGTGTTGAATGCGAGGCAACGCAAGGTCAGTGGAATCTATTCATATCAAACAGTTTCATTAGTATAAAATGCATATCAGAGCAGGAACCTACGGACAGATACGGAGTATCTGTATAAAACCGCATCAAAATCAGACAGGAAAGAAACAGCAATCAATCCTCTTGTGTGTTGATTTCGGTCCTACGATAACCAGAGGCAATGTTTGATTACAAATTGTCAGAGTGATATTTCCCTCTAAGGATTGCAGGATTGAAAATAATATTTTTTTAAACCAACAATTGGCCTGTCAAACAGACAACCGATATGAATATCAAAGAAAGCCTGCAAGGCAGGCAGAGTCCTGCAGAGAGAAAGTCAATAAATCATGCTGCACAATGTTTTTCTTGATACCTGCAAACCAATTTCCTTTCAGTTGTGCGTTCTATCTGCGAATGGACCTGCAGAACCCCATCATTGCACCGATTGGTCAGCTAGAGAGAGTTCGGGAGTAAGTGCCAAAACATCTGTTAAAGAGTTATTGCTTTGCAATGTGCGTGCAATCATAATAGTTGACTTTTAATCACAAAGGACACCACGCTTCTGTTTAGCATGCACGTTGTTTTTTACTAATCATGTGTCTTTAAGAGTAAGTAGATATGCCCAAAGGTGTACTTGTGTAGTACATTTCGATTGTATTGATACTTGGAAACTGCACATTGGATTTAGGTACAAAGACTGTATGGATGTGTGTTTGTTTGTTTGTTTTTTAGCACTTTAGACACGTTAAACGTTACTCGATTCAGTCTGCCTGTCTGTGACGTCATCAGTACGCAGCGGCAGCCGCGCGAAACTCTGAACAACAACAAAACACAGCGTGGAGGAGACGACTGCGAGCGAGACATTTACAAACCACCGTATCGATCCAGCGTGTGGAAACATTTTGGCTTTTGCAAACACGGAGGTGTTCTAAATAAGTCGGTCGCTGTTTGTAGAATATGTGGAAGCCAAATAAAAAACCACGGAAACACGATGAATCTTTCCGGCCATCTACTAAGGCGCCGTGGGATTAAACAACGCCGACAGTCAGGACCTCTAGCAGCGTCACCGCTGCAGCAGCAGCAGGTAACTCCAGCTCTGCAGACGCCTCAGGCCTCGCCAGCACGAAACTCAACATCATAGTAACAATTGCCAAGTTTATCTGTAAAGACATGCGACCCTACAATGTGGTTGAAAATCCGGGGTTCTGTAAATTGATCCAAACATTGTGTAATTATTGTGTAATGTTTCATTGAAAATGGCACTTGATTCAAATAAAAGGTTCATACATTTGCCATTAATTGTTGTTTGCTTGTTTATAGTATCCATAATTAATTTAAACCTGATTTCCTTACAAGAAACAACAGGGATCTCAGAAACTTTGCCTGCCTCAAGTCACTGAATCGAATCGAATCGTTCTAAATTAACCATGAATCGCGATTCGAATTAATCGTTACACCCCTAATAACACTATATTTTAATTTCTTGGCATGAAATCTGATTCATTAATATGGAAAACATATTTTGACCCAGTTGTGT